GGGGGGTGGGGAGGAGTGAGGGGCGCGGGGTGGGGGTGAGAGGGGAACGGGAAGGGGGCGTGAACCGGAGGCGTGAGGGGTGCGTGGGGGGGCGGGCACAAGGGGCGCGAGGGGGACCGTGAGGGGCTTTGAAACAATCTGCGCTGCCTCACCTCCCCAACCTGCCAGTCAGCGCCCGCCCTTTGAGGTCCCTGGGGAGAGAGGAGGAGGCCGGACGGTGTTTTCAAAGAGACAATCCGGGTGTTAATTGGCCCAGCAGCCCTTTAGGCAAATAATCCTGCCCCTCGCCTCCCCGGAGTAAATTAGCACTAGAGCTGGGAGGCAGAGGAAGCCTTTCGGCAGGCCCCTCAGGGATCCAGCTGCTCAGCACGGCACCGGGGCAGTGGGGCACGGGAGGCCGGGCAGGGGCGGCAGATCAGGGGGCATGAGCGCACCCCGCTCATCCTCTGGTGTGCCGCCTGCTTTGGCTCTGGGTTCTCTAAGAGGGGAGCTGGCCTCATCTGCGCCCCAGCACTGTGGTGTGGAGACTCCTGGCCGCGGGGCCGGGCCCCTTCAAGACCTATCAGCAGAGTCTGTGGGTTTCTTGTTCCGTCAGTTGGGGCATGAGCTCGTTAGTGTCTAGGACGCCAGGCTGCACATCCTAAATTGAAGGCCTCATACCCAAACCAAACTCCACCTTTGGCCCCCAAGGACCAACCAGGCCTGTTTTGGAAACCCAGTGGTTGGAGGTTGGGGGGAACTGCAGGCTCTGGGGCGTGGTGGCTGCTTCTGAGGCTCCCTGTAGGTCCATGCCTCCACACACCGCCCCCTCCTGCATGACTGCCACTCCCCACCTCACTCCCACCTCACTGGTTACTGCTCCCTGCCTGGGCTTTCCCTGTCCTGCCATGCTGACCAGCCCGCCTGTCCCGCAGGGGCCCAGGGCATCGTCAGCAGTGGCCTGATCCCCTCGCTGGTGTGGAAGCTGCAGAGGGAAGAGGAGGAGATTCAGCAGCTCATTCTGGACACGCTGGCATCCTGCCTGCAGGAGGACGCTGCCACTGAGGCGCTGGACAACCGAGTGGTGCCCTTCCTCAAGCAGATGCTCCTCAGCTCCAACAATGACATCCGCAGCAAGGCTGCCCGCACCCTCATGGCTGTCTGGTGAGGCCCAGCAGGGCTGCCCCCAGGGCTTCTGCCAGGCTCCCCTCACCTGCTTGGGCCCTGGGAGGAGGGCCCTGGGAGGGTGGCAGACCCTTTCCACCGGGGTGACCAGCCACCCAGTTTGCTCTCACAACCCGGGAAGCCTCTCAGTCCTGGTCAAACAAGGTGGTTGGTCACCCTACTTTACATGAGGAAGGCCTGCACAGAACAGCTGATGGTAGAGATGTTTCCCAGTGGTTAATACATGCTTGATAAGTGCCAGGCGGTTTGGGACACTCGGGGAGCCCACCGCCCTCATTTTCACAGCTTCATGTAATGTCAGGATTAAACTGACCTAAAAAGTCACCTTACCTGAGTCCCCACCTGAGGGGGCTTCCCCACTGAGGGGCCATCGAGTGACGGTCCCACTCGGCAACAGCTGGTTTTACCCCTCGCAGTTCCGACTGCTGAGGTGAGGTCAAATGGGCCTCCCTGTGGTTTGCACTGGAGGTATCTGTCCCCCGTTTTGGATCCAGGGAGAACATGTCTAGTTTCTTCTTCCTGTGATAGCTTAGGGCTCTGGGTGGTGGGACAGGGCCGAGGGGCTCCATCAGCCCCGCTCCACCTGAGATAGGTGTCTAGCTGCACAAGGTGTGCTCCCAGGTTTTCTGAGTGTGCTGGTGAGGCTGAAACCACACCCTAGGGCCCCTCTACACCTGGCCCCATGCCATGTCCAGTCCTGGACCACAGAGGCGGTCCCCACAGAAGCTCTTCCCCTGGAATCCCCCTGGGGTGGTCCTGGGCCAGGCCCCCTAGAGTCCCCACTGTTTCCTGTCTGCCTAGCATCCCTCTTGAGGGCAAGAACCAGGTGTGGCAGTATGACGTGATCCCCATCCTGGTGCACCTGCTGAAGGACAAGACCGAGGAGGTGCAGGCCAATGCTGCTGGGGCCCTGATGTACGCAACCATGACCACTGAAGGTGAGGTAGAAGGGGCTGCCCCAGGGTCCAGGCAGGCAGCGCAAGTGAGGGGCAGGGCTGAGGCTCTGCTGTGTGAGCCCTGGAGCGAATCCAGCACACCTGGCTGCTGTAGTGGACTTTCCAGAATCTCTCTTCTCTGGTTCAGGGTCCAGGTGCTACTCAACCCACTGAAAAACCCTCCAGGGAGGCAACCGTCTCTTTTAGAGGCTGGTGAGGTTTGGGGAAGCAGCCCCTGGGCCGTTAGGAACAGGTGTTGGTGGCCCGCAGGAAAGTACGCGGCCCTGGATGCCGAGGCCATCACCCCACTGCTGGAACTGCTTTGCTCGTCCATGAGCAAGGTGCGGCTTAATGCAATCAAGGCCCTCACCATGCTGGCTGAGGCCCCTGAGGGCCGCCGCTACCTACAGGCCCATGTGCCCACCTTCCGAGTCAGCGAGAAGGACATCAACCAAGCCGTGCAGCGGGCAGCCCACATCGCCATCAAGGTCATTGAGTGGAAGCCCTGAGCCAGCCCTGTAAGCTGCCTCTATGAATAAATTGGCTGATCTCTTTATCTTGGGTCAGAATGGCTCTTCATGTTCTTCTCTCTCTCCTGCCAAAGGGTAAATGCCAGGCCTAAAGGATGGGTCCCAGCAGGCAAGGCACACGGGCCCAATGCCAGGATGTCCCAGGAACGGCGGGTGGCTGCAGGAGCACCGCTTGCTCTCCATTGGGACCATGGGCCTGGAGGCCGGGCAGCTCTTCAACAGGTAGAGCGTAAGGGCTGAGCCCTCAGGGACAAGGGGGTGAGCCCCAGGAGTTAGGCTGGGGAAGGAACCCAGCTGGACTAGGTACAGTTCCAGCTTCAGACGCTTGCTAGATGCTTGTGAGTGTGGCTGGCATGGCCGTGGCAGGCCCTCCCCAGGGCCTTGCTCAGCCAGGTCTGTCTTCCTACAGTGTGTGGCAGGAAGAGAGGTCAAAGGTTCAACCCCATGCAGGGTCTTCCTGGAGTAGTAGTACTCAAGACAGGGCAAGCTTTCTAGTTTCCTTGCTAAGATCTTTCTCTAAACAGCTGCCTTCTTCTCCAAAGCAAAAAAGTTGCTCTGTAAGATCTGGGCCGGACTGAAGCAGACCACAGTTCCCTTCCTCTCCTCCTCGCCTGCTAGCCCTCAGGGCAGCCCCATAGTGAGCCAGCCCCCTGTGCCTCACCCTGTCTCACTTCTCCCACTGCCTTGAAACTGGACAAGGACACTGGAGAGCTCAGGGTAGGAGAGAGAGGAGGGCTGAATGAGATGGTGTGGGGAGAGAAAAGGGGGCTTAGTGAGTGGTGTGTTGGGGGGGAGGAGAGAGAGGAGTCTGAGTAAGGAGTGTGAGGGAGGAGAGTGAGGGGGGCTGAGTGAGAAGTGTGGGGGAGGAGAGAGAGAGACTGAGTGAGGGGTGTGGGGAGAGAGAGGGATTGAGTAAGGGGTGTGGGGGAGGAGAGAGGGAGGCTGAGTGAAGGGTGTGGGGCAGGAGAGACAGGGGCTGAGTGAGGGGTGTGGAGGAGAGAAGAGTCTGAGTGAGGGGCGTGGGGGAGGAGAGATAGGCAGGCTGAGTGAGGAGTGTGGGCTGCAGTAGCCTAGCTGCAGAGGGCAGGGGGACGGGGCCGTGGGGGAGGTCAAGAGAGACCCAGATTCTCCCCCAATCCACCCGTGCCTGGCCTGGTAAGGTGCCGGTTCTCCTGGCTTTGAGGGAGAAGATGGTCTGCACATCAGAAACCCTTTCTGTGGTCTATGGAGGAGCTGCAGAAGCGGAGCTCCCTTCAGGGCTAGGCTCCCTTGTCTGGGGCCAGCTGGAGAGGACATCTTCTCCTGTGAGCTTGTGGAGGCTCCCTCTCAGGGTCTCCCTTGCTCACATCCCAGAGCCTCCAGGTGTGGGGGAAGGAGAGAGGTGTGTGTGTGGGGGGCTTATGGGTGCCCCCCTCCTGGAATAGACACCATCAGCTGAACCAGAATTCCAACGTGAGCTCCTTCCTGAATCCTTAGAATGAGCCCAGGGTCTTCACTTTCTGGAAGAGTCACTGATCACTTAGAGATTTGTCTTTTTGGGATGAAAGGATTAGCCCAAGTGGGCCCTCTAGTTCTGAAAGGGATGGCTGCTGGGCCCCACTGGGATTTCAGGTGAAATCTGATTGTCAAAAAAGGCCAGGTAAGAGGAAATCTTTTCTCCTTCAGGAAACCAGGCGCTCTAGGGGCCCCACTCCCTCAAGTCCCAATCCTGCCTCTACCTACAGCAGGCTGGCTCCTCCCTACCACCTCACCAGAGAACTCTGGCCAAGGTCACCGACTTCACTGCCAAGGCCCCAGTTTCTTGGTGCCTGACCCATGGCAGTGGCCTGGTGTGGACTGCCCGTCCTCCCCAGGCTCTGGCTGGGTCCTTTTGTTTTCCTTCGTAGAACCCTCTTTCCCTGTGTGACTAGTAGTGTTAGTGTTCCTCCTGGCTCTGCTCTGGGCCTTGCCTTCTCTCACTCTCTCACAGGATACCATCTGCCTGGCTATGGGATCTCCACTAGGTTCCCTGCTTAGCTGAACCTGCCCTCTCTCCCCTAGATCTGTGTTTCCAGCCCCATCCTTGCTCTTAAGTTCCGGACCCTTCAGTCCAACTAGACATCTACCCTTAAATGACTCCTGGCAAGAACTGACACCAATTCTTCACAAAATCTTTCAAAAAACAAAAGAGGCAGGAACCTGAGCAGCTCATTCTATGAGGTCAGCATTACCTTAATACCAGAAGCAGACATAGATACCACAAAAAAAGAAAATCACAGACCAATTTCCCTTATGAATATTTTTAAAAAAACAAAAACAAATCTGTTGCCATCAAATTTATTCCAACTCATAGCAACCCTACAGCACAGATTAGAACTGCCCCACAGGGAGAAGCGGCTGGTGGATTTGAACTGCTGACCTTTTTGTTTAGTAGCCAAGCTCTTAACCACTGTGCCATCAGGGCTCCCTTATGAATATAGACACAAAAAAACTCAACAAAACATTATCAAACTGAATTCAGCAACATATAAAAATTACTATACACCACAGCCAAGTGGGATTTATCCCAGGAATGCAAGGTTGGTTTAACGTATGAAAATAAATGTAATATCCTCTATAAATAGAATCAAGGACAAAAAACATATGATCAACTCAATAGATGCAGAAAAAGCATTTGACAAAACCCAATACCCATTCATGATAAAGGGGGAAAAAAAAAAAAAACCTCTTAGCAAACTAAGAGTAGAGGAGAAATTCCTCAACATGATAAAGAACATCTATAAAACCCCACAGCTAACATTACACATAATGGTGAAAAACTGAAAGCTTTCCCCCTAAGATCAGGAAAAAGCCAAGGATGTCTGCTCTTACCACTTCTACTCAACATGGTACTAGAGGTTCTGGCCAGGGCATTTATGTAAGAGAATGAAATAAAAGGAAAGAAGATTGGAAAGAAAGAAGTAAAACTATGCAGATGATATGATCTTGTACGTAGAAGAAATCCTAAGCAATCCATGTAAAAACTACTAGAACCAATAAATAAGTTCAGCCAAGTTGCATGATACAAGATCAATATACAAAATTCAATTGTATTTCTAAACACTAGTAACTAACAGCCCAAAAATGAAATTTAGAAAACAATTCCATCAAAAGATAAAATACTTAGAAATAAATTTTACAAAAGAAGTGCAAGACTTGCTCAGTGAAAACTTCCAAACATTGGTGAAAGAAATTAAAGATTTAAACAAATGGAAAGACATCCCATGTCCATGGATTAGGAGACTTAATATTGTTAAGATGGCAATATATGTTTTCAGGCAACAAAACTCAACATGTCCGAAATGGAGCCCACCTCTCCCCAGGCTGCCCTTTCTGTGTGGCCTGTCTTCAGAGGTGGTGTACCCTCTGCCCACCCCACCCCATCCCTCCAGAAGTTGAATCACTCCTGGAGTCGTGTCTAACTGCTAGTTTCTCTGGATGCCATTCCTTTATCTTTCCTTTCTGCCATTAGTTTGGCTGCATTATTCTAGGACTGTCCTGGTGGTGTCCTGCCTCCTGGTCATCTTCCCAGTGGCAGCTGACCCATCGCTTCCCTGCCTCAGTCCCCAGGGACTTAGGAGGCCTGGTTGGTTGTCCTCCCCACCTGTCTCCCTGCCTCTTCTCCCACTGCTCCCTTTGCATGTGCCCTGTCTCAGCATCCTCAGACATGCTTCCTGCCGACTATGTGCCACACGGCTCACTGACTACCTCCTCGTCCTCAGGGAGGCCCTCCCTCACTATGAAGCTAGGTGGGGCTCCCTGCCAAGGGCCCTGCCATGCACACAACACAGGTGGGCATGCAGGCGGTGCCGGTGTTGGGGGGCTGGCTTGGCCTGTGTCCTCTCCCTGTGTGCTCTGTGACTTTACTGAGCCTCAGTTTCTTCCTCTGTGAAACGCAGGCCCTTCTAGTACCTTCCACAAAGGGTGGCCCTTTGGCCTGGATGAGAGAATGCACGGAAAGTCCTAGCCCCAGCCAGAGTAAGCAGTAGGCCACACTAAGTGCTGGCCATTGCCACAATTGTTAATTGTCTGAATCTCTCCAGAGAGCAGCTCCCATGTGCTCTGTTCATGGCTATCTCCTTGATGCTGATAGGTGGCTGGCACACAGTAGGCACTCGGAAATGTCATCAGAAGGATTGAAGTGGGGCTGGCCACATGAGCTTGCCTTCAGAGTGCAATTTCCATGATGTCAGGTGGGCCTCGAGACTTTTCCTAAAGATGCAAATTGTTTACTTTGGTCTGGAGAGCAGAAGGAGGAATGAGAGGTGCAGGGGTGGGGAGGGGGGTAGGGCGTGCTGCAGAGTCACAGCCCAGGAGTGGCCAGGTCGTTAAAGGGAACTGGACCTGTGGGCCCAGCTCCCAGCAGAGCTCAGTGAGGAGATGGGAGGCTGCATAGCAGGAAATCCTGGCCTGCTCTGTAGGAGCAGGGACCACCTGGCCTTACTGCCAGCCACCCTCGGGCCAGGTGTAGCCATGGCTTCTGCACTTGGGCAGCTCTGCCCCAGCTGGCCTGGGCCCAAGCCAGTGAGGGCACAGCCCTAGGGTAGGAGAGTGAGCCCCTTAGTGGGTGCTTGCCCAGCATGGGAGTTCTGCAGGCAGGGCCACACCGTGAAACATGGGGCAGAAAAGCCAGCTCATGGAGGCTGAGTGTAGGAAAGAGATGGTGGCGGTGGGGTAAACACAAGCAAAACCCTGAATATATTTGGAGATAAAAAGCCAAAATTAAATTTACAGTGAAAGTCAGTGTTTATGCAGCAAAACCATTGGGAGAAAGTGACTCATTTTGTGCAGGAACAGATGTTCTCGTCTGCACAGCCTGTGTTGGCCATAGTGGATGTCACTTCCGTCCCTTCAGCATGGGCCCGTGACTGGCAGTGCTGAGTGCAGACCCCAGCAGCACGGCATGTGTGTGGCCCCCAGCCCACTCTATGTCTCCTGTAGGAAGCACTCCCCCCTACTGG